GAATTTTATCCGGCAACCCTCAGCTAGAGCATTTCCTGCATTAACAGGTGTACACTTCTAAGTATAAGTACTTCTTTATACTATTATATTTATTGTCATGTTGATGCTGGGAGGGACTACAAAAACCGAAATTATAATCATATTATCTTGTTCAGCAGTATGATAATCGTTTTTGCATTGAATTTACATTTTATGAAAATAACCGTCTATTATAATTGATCCTGCACCTGCGGCGTACAAAGGATGGACAAAGCAAACAAAATACAATATTACACAACAACACAAAGTAAAGTCGCCTCTATTTGACCGTTTTGAAAAAGCTCAAATTTGACATGGTTACTTTAAGCACACATTTCATTATTTGTATAGGTGATGTAGTATAAAAGCCATTTTCATTTAAAGCTTTAATAAAGTGTAATCCTATCGAAATGTTACTTGAACAAAGTGGTATCCTGGAAGTGTTTTAAATCCTTATGTATGATAAGAACATTTGGTCTGTGCTCACAGGGGTAAGATGAAGGGTGTTACAACTGCAGAAAGAGAGGGAGGAAGTTGTATGGGAGCTTTTATGGCATCCTGTATAGGAGGCATCTGATCAGTGTTTAGGGTGACCACCTGGACCCACATGTCATTGTGTGAGCTGTAAATGATCTTTGATGTTTCCCTATAAGAGATTCTGTCTCAGACATCAGGACGCACTCAGGAGGAGTCGTCATGTGTGCATACATTCCAAAAAGGACTTTATATGAATATTGTGTTTCTTTGCATATTTGCCTTACTCATCACTTTCTCTAGACAGCAGCTGATTTGAAATTGTGACAAAAATGTGTAATTTTATATTTTAAAATGTTTTCATTTTTTATCCACAACTGTCTGGTAGAAATTATCTCACAACCTCCAGTTTGAGAACCACTGCCTGAATGAGGCGTACTGAGGTTTATCATTAACTCCCACCTTGACTTAACTGTGTTGTTAGCAAAGATAGAGAAGTGGGCTAAAGTGAAGCAACACAAGACGGAGAAGTTGTGCAATGAAATGGACACCTCTCTGTTGCAGGAACAACAGTGACAGGTTTCCTAAGAGCTCATTGTTGTTACACAAAGGTACTGGAAACTTACTCCCAACTGAAACGGACATTTCCAACTTCAAAGCCGTAGTCACTGTGATCATGGAGATACTCAGCATGAACGGCTGCATTCCACATGACCTGTGAAGACAGGTCAAGGCACTACATAAGACATCTAGTGAATAATGAGTCAAAATGATCATGTTTCTAAGGTGAACTCAGCACATAACAATAACATTGAAAAGAAAGGAGTACCTTCTTGGGGACACAGCCAACATTGACCTGAAAAACATTCAAGCAGTGTAAATTAGTTCAATGTAAACTAGAGGAAATAACTTCCTACTTTTATAAAGATAAACACTGCACCGGAGCTCCATTTGCACAGTATGTTGCAATAGGTGTTTTGTTTCAAGGAAAACATTAATGCAGGCTACTCCCCAGAGTTAAAACTTCCCTAAGTAACTTTTTCAGCTATAAAATAACACAGTTTAACAATATTATCATGATACAATATCACTGGAAGTCAATACATGTGAAATAAATATAAACTTTATTGCTACAAACGGCTATAAAGGAGGCTACTCCTAATTTTGATTTGGCTGGATTTATTAATCCCTTGTTATACGGTTTTTATATAGAAATACAATTATGTAACATACGTTTTTTTTACCCAGTTATTAGCAAAATTGGGAATTTAATCTGACTAACTAGTTTTGCCTTTATGCAATCAGGAAGTGGTTTTAGTGGTTGTGAAACATCATACTGCAGTGATATATTTTTCTCATTAGCTATATCTGTTGGGTAAACTAAAAAGATAAAGGAGTGGATGAACAAAATACGTAATATTAGGGATTGGACAATATAGGATTTTAATAACAGATCACAATAACCTAATGGTTGTCAATTTCCATTTTGGAGATAACCATGAATATCCTTATATTAATTACTTTAAAAAACCTATCTATCTTCCTGTCATGGTAAACAAAAAATGATTAAATATTTAAAAAACTAAATACAAAAAGTAATTGATATGTTATGACCTTATGTGACCTTATGAACACCTAATTTAAGGTTGTTAATTTTTAACTAACAAGGATATTTACAAAAATGAATTAGTTCTATTGGATCCAATATGTTTTAGTGCCAAAGATCATAACTTGCAATTCCTTTGACCAGGATAATACTGTCATATCATTTTCACATATTCAAATGCCTATAATATTAAATGCTTTCCAATAAAAAGGTTTTCCAACAATAACAACTAGTGTATTTGAATCATCTTCCTCACATTGAACCCCTTGCGCACAAAGAATCCATTAGTCTATTTAATGAAGTAACCTATGAGGGGTGACCAGGGTCAACCCAATTTAATGTAACTGTTAAGACTTTGTCTCTGCTGCTTTATACAGTGGGTGTTAGCTTTAGTATGTCAGGGCTACAATGTTTGTTGCACACACAAAACACTTCCACAAAAGGAGTCGGGAGGCTTCGCAGTGAACCTGGCCACCAGCGTGTGTGTATGAAAGCTGCAGAGTGACAGCACAGACAGTGACTCTAGTCGGGATGAATAACAGTGTTGTTTTTTACTCACGCAGGTACCTCCGAGTTTGTGGCTCTCGATCACCGCGGCGGAAGCTCCGAGCTCCGACGCCCTGCGAGCCCCGGCCAGACCTCCGGACCCGCCGCCTATCACCAGGAGGTCGAACCGGGTCGTCCCCGCAGTGTCTGAGGCCATGCTGCGGCGGATGTTTACTCCTTGTCTACGAAGAAAAGACGAGAAAAGTTGCTTTTTGGGGACAGAGCAACCGCAAACTTGCATACACCGGGTTAGCTGGATTAAAATAACCAGCCATAACCAGGAAGCTGGCGCCAGTGTGCTCCAACAGGGGGTGGGTCAATGCCTTTGCTGTGTCATTATGAGTTGCAACAATGGTGTGCATAGTCATGGTGATCATCACATGCGCTACAGTACCACGTATAGAAAAGCAGAAGAAATCAGAGTTAAATCTGCAACAAGAATTAGGTAAAATGACTAAATGTAGTCAAGAAAGCATCATGACTAGTTTGTGATTGAATATTACAGTGAGTATTTAACTTAGATATACTGCATGACTCACCTCGGTAATGCCATGTGCACTGAAACGTTGGGAACCAGTCTGCATATTCTTCTACACAGCATGTTTTTATCGATTTTTAGGGCATTTCTTAGAGAAGTCTCCACAACGTGTGGTTGTTTATGTGTCAGCCGGTGAAAGCCTGTGAGGGGACTTCATAACAAACGCTGCAAACCACTTCCTGTGTCACTGGGGGGGTGAACTCAAAAATACTCGACGACACGAACTCCCGTCGGTCTCATGTTGCCCATTCAGTAGCCTAAAATCTGGAAGGATACGTTTAAAACAAATATTTCATGTTTCTGAAATGTAGGGTGTGTATAACGAAGCTGCCAATTAAAAAAATGCGTGTTTGTCCAGTAGCAGATTTAGAAACGTGTGAATAATCCCAGGATATAAAGGGGGTTTGCGTATTTTTATAGCACCTACGCTGCACCCTGCCTGCCAGCTGTGAAGGAAAACTAAATAAAAAAGTTAACTTCCGGTCAAAATATTCAAAATAAGACCTGCTGTAGAGAAGCCAAAAGCACATTTCCCGGCAGTATAGACAATATTAAGAGAACAAGATAAGATAAAATAAGCTTTTTAATGTCATCCATTTATATATAGTGCAGTACATTACATACATTGTGATTTTTATTGTAAATCCTGCACAACATGTTGCACATTTCTGCTCCATGCTACCTCTTTTTCAAATCAGCATAACTCTCCACTTGAAAATAGAATATTGTCATATTTTACAAAAGTTTACTGCACTCAGTTTCCCGCATAATTATATATATTGTTTTTTACGTATTCTTCTTTCTTTGTCTCTCTATGCACTACTTATACCAAAGCAAATTCCTCGTATGTGTAAGCCTACTACTTGATCAATACAACAGATTCTGATTCCGATTAAGGAAATACATGTTTTATTTTTTAAGGTAGCCTATATAAAAAGATAACTCAGTTTGAGGGAAAAATAAGGAAATGTTTGAAAAAATTGCTGTTTGATAATTTAAAAAATGCATAGCCCGCAGATATAGATTCCACCCATAGCCTGTATAGGTTCCACCCCTATGGTTCCACCACTGCAGACCGAAAACAAACACAACATGTAGGCTGCAAATTGTTAAACACGTTTTTCTTTGGTGAGATTACTGCCCATTTATTATAATTTTTTGTTTAACAGTTTTTATTGAGATTTCAAAATCAAAAGAAATATACATTCATTGCATGCGTGTGGCCATGCATGCATTGCATCCCACCCAACCCTCCCCACCCGTCCCCTTAATTCCAGATCTTGGGGTCCTGCTGCTGCTGCTGCCACAAACTATTGCTCTAGTCATCCTGGTTTAGGGGGATCTGTAAACTATCGTAATAATTTAGGAAGGGGGTCCAAATCTTTGTAAACTTCTGCCTTTTAGAGTGTACCGGATTTTCTTAAGTTTAAGGAAATGCATAGTGTCTCTTATCCATCTAGTAAAATTGGGAGGTGCTTGATTCTTCCAGGACAGGAGAATTAGGTGCCTGGCAATCAAGGAGGTAAATGCTATGACTGCCTGAGTTTTACCTTTTAGGTAGCCGGTTTCTGGGGTGAGGCCAAATAAAGCACATACAGGCCCATTTATTATTTGTATTCCATGCTCTTACTTTGAAGGAGAGATGAACCCGTTTCCGGTTTTGAGTTAGCTTAGCTGAGACCCCAAGCTAAAGCACAGCGACTTGGTTGGTCGCGTTTTCAGGCGTTAATATCAAGCCCACAGGAATTATTTATCCATTTAAAAACATCTAACAGATGAAAACCAAACACTCCTATAAGGTACGTATGTACGATTTGACTCTGTAGATAAAATAAACAGTACATATTCGGCCCGTCGTCTTTGTTAGCCCCCCTTGTTGTGGGCCTTTTTAGTGTTAAAATGAAAACAGGAATAAGGAATTTAGACAACAGCATTTAATTCAGCGAACCGCTTTTGTGTTTTTCTTGCTTTCCGTTACCTGAAGATCAAATAGCTGCAGGCTGTAAAAACAGGAGCTGTGTGTGAGGGGGGAGGGTCTGCATAGGCCTTGTGTGAATGTCTGCATTGGTAGGTGCATCAACTATTATTTTTCTCACAGGTGGGAGACATCTCACAATCAGACAGTGGCGATGCCAGAGATTTTCTTTTGGGGGAGCTTGACGTTTCACAGAGGGTGCTCAAACATTTAGGTTTTTCCCTTAAAGGTGGGGTAGGTAAGTTTGAGAAACCGGCTCGAGATACACTTTTTGTTATATTCCATGGAATGCTCTTAACATCCCGATAGCAATGAATATCTTAAGTGCTTTGACAAAAAATCCATAAAGAAATGTTCATCTGTGGAAGCCGTAGTAGGACTACTGTAAAAAGCACGACCAATAATTGTAGCCGGCCCGGCTAAAATAACTGGATGGCCTACCTGCCGGTCAGCCTTCCATCTGTGCACACAAACTTATCTCGTGCCCTCATTGGTCATGTGTGTGTGAGGAGGGGAAGGAAGGAAGTAGCACTTCTGCCTGTGTATTTTCAAATTCTAGCGCACTCGAGCTGGTTTCTCCAAAATTACCTACCCCACCTTTAATCTACTGGGCGCTACAGTTGTATTTTCTACTGCTACACTCCCCACGCGCACATACATAGTATACTTGTTACAATGAAGGCTCGATAATCAGCTCACGGCATATAGGTATAAGCAGGGGTAACGTTCTATTTTTATAAGTGGGGGGTGGACCTAACATCGTCTAGGGGGCATGCTACCCCGGGAAGATTTTTATTTGTTTAATATTGAAGGTAAATGCATCAATCTGGTGCACTTTGAGAGCAAAATTAAGAGATCTATGGATACATCTCTCAACACCCATATGAAACAGAACTGTAAACAGATGTACTTTTTCTTTATGGATATTTTACACTCCCCTTCAAAAGTGTATTCTTGTTTTACTGTCATATAGTTTACTATTTCATAACTGTTTTTCCTTTATTCTCTTATTTTTTTATAACTATATTGATCATATGAAAGTGTGCCTCGGAAATAATTGTTTACATAAATCGTGACCAAACCGTTTGAGACCCACTGAGATAACTTAGACTAAAGTTAACTATCTAAACACTCAGAGAGTCCTTTGGCTCACCTGAGTCTCTCAGTCTGACAGGAGAGGACATTCCCTTCACCTTGTTGTAGAAACAGCTCCTTCTATCCGTTAGTGCAGCTAGCTAAACAGATGCTAACAACACGGTCCCTGGCACGGTGTGCTCTCTCTCGCTCGCTTAATCACACTAAATGCGCGCCTGCCGCACACACACACACACACACACACACACACACACACACACACACACACACACACACACACACACACACACACACAGCTGAGCTTGAATGAAACACAGAGACCCAGAAGTACTTGTACTGTGGCATATTATTTTCGAATCAATCATTTTTCTAATTATGAATTTCACATGTGAAAATAAAAAAAGACATACATTTCTTGGGGGTGCTTGGGGGGTGCTATGGCTATCCTAGGGGGAGCTTCAGCACCCCCCTGGCACCGCCTATGCTATCAGATCCAGATTGCTTCTTCTCTGACTCCTCTGTCTGATTGCAGAATTGATGGCTGCCAGATGACCTGCTCAACATGATTCCTGTCACCTATCACAGCATGCTTTCGTCTGCAAACAGCGGACACCCCAACCCTCTCTTGGATCGTGTTTTGAACTCTTCAAACGTGAAGTGTTGTCAGAAATGTGGATTTTCTAGTACAGATGCTGCAGAGCTCAAGAAGCATGCGATGGAGCACAAGGGGACGAGATTTTACTGTTTTTACTGCAACAAAGTCTCGTTCAGTGAGGCAGAGTTAAATGCTCACCTGAAGGAACACAATTCAAAGTATCCGTTCAACTGCCCTCACTGTGGACAGGGTTACATGAGGAGGCTGTGCCTTGTGAATCACATTGAGCGTGTACATAGTAAAGTCATGAGTCAAGGACCTGCTAAGACTGGCATGATTACAAATCCACATGTTCCAGCCTCCAGTGCTTTATCAAGTGTTTCCACTGTGGATCCATCATTGCTTCGACCAACTGTTCGGGTGAAAGTACCTGCGCTGAGCTCATCTGTAGCCAGGCTGGCTAAAGATGAACAAAGAGGCATTACACTGGACACTAATGTATCACATGCTACTAATGGTAGTGCAGAACTTTTGTCCCCTTTGAACGGACTCTTTCAGCACAGCAGAGCTTTGACGGTTTCTCTTCCCGAGGAAATTACGATCCCTAATGGCTGTATGGTGGAACTTGTTGAGGTGAAAACTGTCAACGGGACAAAGGAGCTAAAGCTGAGGATCGTCTCTCAACAGGGAAACGAGTCTGTGATAAAAGACACAAGGACCACAGTTTCGCAAAACGCAGCACTAGGACAGCCATTCTTATCCGCATTAAACCACACAAACACAGTTAAGTCTATGAATATGGGGATGTGCACTATTAACAGGAACCAGTGTGAAACAACATCTGTGAATTTGGAGCGTCCTGCAATTGTCCCAGTACATTTTTCCAAAAACCTCCCGAATCAAGTCAGTAAAGGCAAAGTTGGATTAAAAAGAACATTGCCGGAAATAATCAATCTGGAATATCATGAAGTTGTTCCAAACAAGGTTCCCAACATTCTTGTGAATCCTGTAAGAGAAGGAAACTGTGGGATCAGAGTTGCTCAGAGAGATCTGGGGAACCACGCAAATCTGCACTCTGTTATCTCCAACAGGGCTGTCAACAGGTCGACTGGTGCCCTGCATCGAGAAAATAAGGGAGCACATGTTTCTCAGAGAGCGGTGGATGATAGAAGGAATTTAATTGATCATTCCAAAGGTGTTCTACCCGTGAAGGAAAGTGATGTAAAAGTAATTCCTAGTGATGTGTCCCGGCATGTAAAACTTGAACCCGGGGAGATAAGGGAAGAGGACTACACTAACTTGAAAACAAAGAAGGGGGCAGTTGGTTTTAACCAGCAAAAATCTGCCTCCCCTTCCTTGAATGTTCTCTCAGCTGGCCAAGTGAGACCTCCAGCCATTTTAGTTTGTAAGGATAATGTTGCAAATTCTTCCTTTTCAATACCCAGAACACCAATAGACTCCCCCTCAGGCAAAACACCGGCCCTTTGTAATCGCACAAATTCAAAGGTCTCATCTTGGGTCCAGGAAGTGAGATCCAATGAGAGATTGGCAGAAGGAGATCTGCCAGAGTCTGAGGGTTTTCCCGTCATATCTTCTGTGTTTTCATTAAGTCAACAATCAGAGGACGGCCAAGGCTCCTTTCAACCGCTGGTAATGGCTCTGCGTGGTTTAGTGATGGATAAAAGCAACAGTTCTGTTTGTACAATTCTAAATAACATCAACACAACGAACAGCACAGAGCAGATGATGGAGGCAGAAAAATCGAAGCTCTTCAGTCGGATGTCGACTATAGATGGATCCATTATCCGTCACCTTTTATTGACTGACCGGAAAATCGATACTATAAAAGTGGAGGGGCAAGATAAAGGCATTCAACACCCTCCTTCACTGACCCACAACAACTTCCTTGTCAAAGAGGAACAAAATAATACTACGCTAACGGACAAAAGTAAATGCAATCACACTCCTGAGTCAAAATCGTGCGTAAAAGATGAGAAATCCAAAGTTGACGCACAGGTAAATGCACATGCCACTACAACGCCTCCACAGGAAGTGGCACAAAGTGAGCATGACATGTCAAAGTTTCTGACTGTCTCTCTGAAAAGGGTGCAAGTAGGCGTGTGGAAAAAAAACAAGAAGGGACTAAAACCTAGAATATCCAAATATAGGACTCCGGTACCTGGGTCCAGTCTAACTGACAGTACAGTTATTTATCCGATGCCGCTGAAGGGAGACCAGCTGGTGAAGCGCCCGGGCCCCAACCAGCCCGTGGTGGTGCTCAATCACCCCAAGCCCCGGACCAACCGTCAGGGAGCGAGGACAGACAGGTTGGAAACAGGAGCCTCGGAGGGCGCTCCAAAGTGCAACATCTTAAAAATGAGGCTGAGCAAAGTGATGGGGCAGAAGTATGAGGTAATGGGCTGCACTGTTGGAGTCTTTCAGTGAAATTATCAGATAATATCACTGGACATTTATCTGAAAACATTTGTTTTAAAATACCTAAAAAAGGACACTATATGGACATTTGTTCTCTCTAAGGCAGCATTAGATTAGAAGGAATGGACTTCTGATTATCATGGAACCTTGTGTGTAACATTTATGTTGTTTATCTAGGCATGGGATGAGAAATACTAAGTGCAATGGATGAAACACGGACCATATTCTGTAGTAGATTGCCATTAGAAATACACAGATGTTTAAGTACTGTTTCAGAAGTTTGATAAACCAGTAGAGTCAGAGTCGAGGCACAAATAATGCATGCTGTTTGCTTAAAAAATTAAAAGGAAAATAGTGTATTCATTTATTTTTTTTGCATCACTTGTGTTTTTTTGCATCTGGCCACTCTAAGACACAAACTGAATTTGGTGCATCTGAGATGATCAAATTGTGTGGGAACCCAATCAGAATATAGGCAAAGTCATTATCATAATATGCACACAATTTTAATGATGGAAAAATCTGTGGTGAATATCAAGTCGGACTACAACTAATAAGTATTTTCACTGTTGATTAAATAGTGAAAATAAGTATGTTGCTCAAGATGATCCTCAAATGTATTTTTTTTTCTCCAAAACTCAAAGATATTAAGTATTATAGAGGATCAAAGAAACCAGAAAATGTTTCCATCAATAAGCTGGAATCAAGTAATTGAATTAAACACATTTATTTGGAACCGTTAAAATGTTTGTCAGAAAAATGTAATAGTTAGCAATAGATTGATCTTTGCAGATTTAAAATATGATAACGTGTTTGATTTGTGCAAAAATGTAATATAAATTGTCAATTCAACAGCCTTTTTTGTACTAAACTTTTTCGCACAAAACAACACAGGAAAACAGTGAATTAACAGTACTGTATTTTGACAGTGAGCACTTGCAAGCCTACATAGGTTTTAATAGTCAGCTGTGTCTCTTTCTCTGCATTTGTTGTTACATGTTAAATAGACACTATGGGAACGCAGACAATGTCATATGTGCAGCAATCGGTATCAGTCCGTGGTGGTGCATTCAGGCACTCTTTGCAAACTCTTACATTTGGGAAATCCTGCATTACTATTTCCCAGACCAACAGTCACTGGTACCTTCATTAAATGGACTGGACCAATGAAATGACAATGCAAGGTGTAAATAATGGAAGCTGGGTTTGTTCTCAGTTTGGGCGTGTTGTGAACCATGGGGGGTGTCAGAAAAAAAGAGGGTTGCCAGCTTTTTTTTGTGTTTGCATGTGTTTTGTGAAGTGAATTGTCACAGTTGTACTTATTATTCTTGTAATGTCCCCCAGTTTCTTAGCAGTATTTACCACTTTGCAGGCCGTTCTCATTGATAAACTCTATTTTCTTATTTGCCAGTTTCATGACATTTCAATGTGGAATGTATCGCAGATATTTGAGATTTATTTGAGTGTTATGAAATCTTGTGCCATACAGTTTCCTGTCTTTAATGTACTTCAATGTAAAGCCTCTGTAACTCCTTAAATAGTGCTGCATAATGGATCTGATAAAAGCACCTCAGTTTACTACTGTAACAGAAAACCACGTGCGTGTGTTTTTAATTATGTAAATACTAAGTGACTATGGTGATCCTGGGAATCTGTTTAAAGTTGTCTTTTTTTAGTAACCATTGAAAGGTCACAAACTCTCTCTTTACAGACGGTTTACAACAGCATTACAACAGCAGCGTGTTGTGTTTAAAATCTAACCATGATGTATTAAGTGATAGACCTACGATTACATTTATAGGATTGTGTTGCCCAGTTTATATTGTGTAAATATGTTTTGATCAACATATTTTTATCGTGTAAATACCTATACATATAAAATGTGATAAATCGTGTTCATACTCTTTAGGAGATGGTAACCATTCCACAGCCTCGTCTACATTGTGCTTTACTTGTCTAACGCTGCAGTGTCTAAAGCTGCTGTGCTGTATTGTTTATTGTATTATTATTTAAATGTGTCACAATTATTTCTGAATGTTTTTCTTTGCCTTTATTCACTTCTCAATGTGCATTATCGTGTCTCATGCTTTTATAAATAACGATTGTGTAACTACATTTTTCTATTAAAACATGATAAAAGATTGCATAGCCTCCCCGTTTGTTGAACATAATTGCTCATCATGATCAGTACCTTAACATAGTAGATCTCTAACGCACTCAGAGAGGCCCAATCCCAAACCACTCCCTCGACCCTACCCCTCCGTGACGGAGTGAACTCCGTCTGTAGCCACACTCGCAGCTGAATGAAGTTCCCTCCATTAATGCCCCGGCCACACGAGGACGAAAACGGCCGTTTGCGTTACTGTTTAGTGTCATATAGACCATTCGGCCACACGAGGACGACCGCATACGGCACTAAACGACTGAGGAAACGATAACGGGTCCCAAGGTGGATAGAACCAGAGCCATATAATAGAAGAGTTATGACATCTCCGTTCACTCCAATGGACCACTTTTTTACAACAATGGCGGATCGTGGAGCCTCTCATTCGTTCCCCGGAAGTTAGCGCCAAGGCTAGCAGAGCGGTAGAGTTGCAGCATAATAACCGTTCGTGACGGACTTTTAAAGGTAAGAAGAAGTTTAAAGATTTATATTGCGGATATTATCAGTACATCTGATTCAATTGAACATGTGTATTAAAAGATGTCAGTGGATTATCCCTAAATCAGTAGATTTAGGGAACGTTTACAGATAACAGATCAAGCTAGGATACCGAAGCAAGTTAGCAACAGACGTTGAACAACCTTTTAATTGTAAATTCCGTTCTCTTAATGTCATTTGGTCCAACGTTGTTGAATTAGAGAAGAGGGGCTTCTAAACGGGATTGTATGCGGGGGTGGAGGGAGTTAAATATTAGATAAATATAACTTTGGTGCGTGTAAGAGTGAGTGTTTTTAGCAGAGCCATATTGTGTCCTTGTGATTATGTTGATTATTACCTGCCTGTATAATGTTGCAGCTCAGCTGATTTTGGATTGATGGCAAAGGGAGAGGGACTTAAGTGAGTGTGAAAACACAAGGTAAGTTTAATACTACTGTTTTATATAAGTAAGCATACTAAACATGTATTCTATCACTGTATTATATAAGTAATCTTGTTAGTAACCTACTGTATGGCAGGTGGAGGGGCAGTGATGTTACAGGTGGAGGAGCAAGACTGCAAACTCACAAGACAGAGAAATCAAAGTTTGTTCTCCAGAGAAGAGGTTGATTTCACTTCAATTTTTTATTTCATATTTACTCCATGTACTCCACAGCATGACGGAAGCCTGCTGGAGAGGGCCTGAGCTTCTTTCTCCAAGACACCCACTGCGTTGGGGAGCTGCATGAGGGAGGAACCAGTCTTGGTCCTAAATAGTTCCTCAATTTGGTGAATGAAGTCAAAGGCTTCTTGGGAGGGACGACAAGAGCACCTGCCTTGAAGTCTTTCAAGTCCACTAACAAGCTGTTGTCACCAGAAGGACTCTCATCATGGTGCTCTGTTGCAATTTTGCATTTTTCACAGATGCTGGCAAACTTGATGATTTTGTGGACGATGTAGCCTGCAAGATGGAAGAGAATACATTTCTCAGTTTTTGTGAGGTCAGGTGCTGCTGCTCTGTTCACCGCCATCAGCTGTTCCACTCTGACTGATGGAGTGATTTTTGGCTCCCCTGTGTCCAGGAAGTCTGCCAAAAAGCTACTGTGGTCTTCCTGGTAGCTCCCAGAGCTGATGGTGGTGAGGAACTGCCCCACAGATATGATTCTCAGTGCATGATGGAATTCCACTGGAGTTGGGACAGGATTTTTAGACCTCACACAGCTGAATGTATTTTCAAGGCAGTCTTGTGTGAACCTTGACTAACACAAACCTGTGTCCTTGTGTAAGCATCTCCTCTTGTATGGCCAAAATTGATGTTGTTGTCATTATCACCCCTGTTTGAACAGGCTTCCAACCTTCCTTTTGACCTATCTTTATCCCACGAAACAGATGGACGATGTTCTGGAGGAAGGTGATGGCCTTTTGGTACTCCTCCATCTTGAGCCTGCTCAGGGCTGTAATTGGATGGCGAGATGACATCAGATCAAACCAACGATCAACCTGCTCCAGGAACCACACTGTCGTCAGGTATGACAGAGGGCGGTTTTCTTGCTGCACCATGTATTTCAGCCCAGCACTTGTAGCCTTACTGAACACATTTATGGCGCGTTTCCACTGCAGCGGGTAGCTCGCTTTAAGCGTGCCGAGCCGTGCGGGGCACGTTTTTGGTTGCGTTTCCACTTGGCCTAGTTTTGGCCCGGGGCTACTTTTTCACCTTTTTTCTGGCCCGACTAAATCGTGGTTCTAGGGCCAGGAACAACCAGGCTGAGTCGGGCTGCGTATGCTAAACTAGAGAGAGAATCGCTGGCAAGGGGGCTACAACTACAACAAGATGAACATATTTGACCGTGAATTCATTGTAATACACGTTTCAAAATGATGCCGAAGTAACAACATACTGATACCGGTTAGTAAAAACCATGAATTAATGCTTTGACAAGTCTGCAGACAGACGGCAGGCGAAAAACCCTTTTAAAATGCGTGTTTTCTAAATGTAGCTTGGCTAAGCTAACGTTATATATGCTCCGACCGTCCACACTCACAACAACGGCCTATACAGACATAAATAAACCAGCGACTGTATTCGCCATGACACAGGCAGTCTGTGGTTTGTACTTGTTTAACTTTTGTCTAGTTTCTGAACAGATATGAAGAGCTGTGAGCTCTGAGTGCTAAGAGCTAACGGCTGTGTTGTTTTTCTGGGGCGCTCATTGAAGATGACGTCACGGCTCCGCCTACACTGCGTTACTATAGTAACTGCCCCAGTTCCTAAACTGTAATGGAAACGCAGCATTAAAGTGAGCCGGGCCTAATAAGGCCTAACCAAACCGAGCGAGGCCGAACGAGGCCTGCAGTGGAAACGCGCCATTAGAGCAAGACCAACCTTCATCTTATCAAAGTGACTTGGCTCGATGGCTGCAGCTGAAAGATGGGGAGCTATTTTTAAGGCCATCCCTTCCTGAAAGGTCAATAAGTCCTTAATGGGGACCACAGAAACCTCGTTAGAGGGGAGGTTCTCTCTGTTAACAACATCCTCAGGAATTATGAAGACCTGCCCACGGACAAGGGCACTTTTTAAATTTTTTACCAGATGTGGGACATCGGGCATGAAATAGAGGTTTTGCTGGATGTGGCACCGATGTTTTATTTTGGTCCACCCCAAAGGATTTCCACATGGCTCGGTTAGGGCTACCCATGTCGGTGGTGACATCAAGCACATAGCCCTATGGATGCTGCCCTCTGTATTATCTCAATAATGATTGGCCTGTACTCTGCTCCATTGGTAGAATTGCCAGTGTAATGATATGCCACTACTTGCTTCCACCATGTTGTGTTTCCAGCCAACATAAACACACAAGCATGTGTTGCCACCCCTGTGTGACCTGGTAAAGTCACATCACCGTACAGTTTGCCTGTAATCATGTCTAACTCCACACTTGGTGTGATTGCCATTTCATCCAAGGTCAACACACACTCCCTTTCAAGGTCTGTCAATTTATCTGCCTTCAATTTTAGGAAATCAAAGACCTCTGTCAACACACCAGGCTCAAACTTAACACATTGCATCCTTCTTTGCAGTGTCCTTATTCCTGGAAGGGGAATCTTCAATTCCTGCAGAGTTTTGTAACCCGTTGGTCCGCTCGCAAAGCGAATTTTTTAAAGCCTTCTTAATTGTCTCATTGCTCCATTTCATCCCTTTGTAGTGAGTCTGCCTAATGCCTTCAGTTGGTCTTTTGAAAACGTTTCTTATATTTCTTGTCCCTAATTTTCATTGTTTTCTTGAGAGCTGCATTTTCCTTCCTGATTTTTCTTAGTGCAGCCTTTGCTTTTTTGGTGATTCCTTCTTGGCTCTTTAATTTCTCTTAATTGTTGTAATAGATCTGTTTGAATGGCTGCTGGTTCCCTCGTATGCTGACTGGCTGCTGGTTCCCTCGTATGCTGACTGGCTGCTGGTTCCCTCGTATGCTGACTGGCTGCTGGTTCCCTTGTATGCTGACTGGCTGCTGGCTGAGTGGGTGGTGTCCGCCCTCCCTGTCTCTCCTCATTAGCCATGTCCTCTCTTTTCTTCACCCTCACTTTCCTTTCTCTCAGTCTCCTCATCCCTTCTTCCCTCAATCTTTGAGACTAATGTAAGTAGAAGACATGGCAACTGTAAATGTTCGAACATTTAAAATATTATACCACTTAAAAATAAGAAATATTACTTTTGTTACTAAGAGTTCATACTTATTATACCTGTGTCACCTTTCACACTATAGCTGTGATCATGAGCTATGGGCTTTGTAGATACAGGTCCCCGGGGTGAATCGTGGTGCAGGGGCCCTTCTCTTTTTGACCACAGGGCGATGCACGAAGATGGTGGGTATAGCCTCTGCTCTCAGCCTAGTCTTGCCCTTTTTTGTCTTGACAAACTGGTCTGCATCAAAATGTGCCTGCGGAGTGACTTGAGGTTACTTCACACACAGAACAACTGTGTCTGAATCTTGTCTGCCCACATACATATTCCATAGTGGTTGAATACACAGTATTAGGAAACACTTTATACTTACTGGACATGTTATACTCATTACATACTGTATATAAAATATGACCAAGAATGTGAGACAACTTTATAGAAATTCATATCACATCTGTTACTGATGCCATTTGTCAGACTTTGTTAAACTCACAAATAATAAAGTTCCATAACTTCAGTTGGGAACAAAGACCACACCTTATCTCCCCAAGGCAATTTCCCATCCAATAGGTGTGCTATATAGGTGTGTATAACCCTTTCTCCTGTCTGTTTATCCCTCTTTCAGCACAAGAACCAGAGGGGGATTCAATGGAGCCTGAATACCTGCACTGAGACCCTCACCCTGCACCCTGAGTCTCAACTCTGTGTTTTTCAAGCCTTTCCCTGTTTTTTTGTATTAAACAAAACATTAAGCTTTCCCAATGGTGTGGTTTTCGTTTTGTGAAAAAGTGCAAATGCAGTGTTTGTATATAATTACCTCACATAT